AAAAAAAAAAAAACCTGCAACTGCCAGAGAAAGGGGGTGGGGCGCGGGCTAGGGAGAGGGGGTCCCGGGAGGTGGGAGTGAGGGGCGTCCAGGCTGGGTGGATAAGAGAGGGAAGCAGAGCCCCGCAGACTGGAGAGGAAGGGAATGCCAGACTAGTCCCTGGCGAAAGAAGGATCTGGCTAGAAAGACCTGGAAAATAAGGGGCAAGGGGGGAGGCGGGATTCCTCAGAAGATAGGGAAAGGGGGGCCCATTTAGACGCCGGAAAAAAAAACAAAACGAGAGGCAGAATGTTATCTAGGGACGAAGATGGGAATGCGATGGCAATTTGCTTGGTTTCTGAGCTAAAAATATGGAAGAGGAGAGGATAGGGAAGGATGTGAGTCTCCGGTTAAAAGTGAAAGTGTTTTGCCATCAGTGACAGTTGAAGGAGGGGGAGGTGAGGGTGGTGTTTTCAGCCCCCTTTCTCCTCTCCCATCCTCCCTCGGTCTCTCTTTCTGCACTTTGTCCAATGAAAGAAGGCGAGTTCGGGAGGTGAAAGTTCAACAGAAGGACAAACCCCTGTTTGCAAGGAAACAGAAACCAGCCAGCAAGGGATTTCTCCCCCCTGTATGTAGTTTGAATTAGGCGAGTGTAATGTGGGACGAGCCCCCCTCCACCCTCACCCCCCACTCCTGTCCTTGTCAGAGTCACTGCAGGAATGTGTAGTTAGATCGACTTTGGGGGACAGTGTCTGCATCAGGCGCTGTGTTCTTGCCACGGTTTCTCTTAGGAAAACGCCCAGGGGCTAGCATGTCAATCAGTTGTTTAACACAGATTACCTGCTCTCCATGACAGCAGTCACTTTCAAAAAGCTTTGTCCAATTCTTTGAAAAGGTGTGATTTTCTTTTTTCTCTGTGCTGTTTGAAGTTTGGTGGAATTTAGAAATTTGAAAGAATAAATTAGGAGCCTGAATGAAATGTTTTGAAATGTATATATAAATGTATAAAACAAAAGACACTAGTCTCATTTTTATCAACACAAATAGAAAAAGAAGATGACTTTTTGTTTCCAAAATGTGACTTAGAAAGATACAGGGCTCTATGGATTGTTGTTGTTGTTGTTGTTGTTGTTGTTGTTAACAGAAATAATTTTTTTCAGACCCCTCGCCCCAGATGCTGCCAAATTCCCAAGCCAGTATTTCCAGCTACTGACCAACTATTTATGAGAATATACTGAAAGCCACCCTGTGGAACCCTACAAAGTACCTGGGGGAGGGGGGGGGGAGTGCTGTCTCATTGATCTTGAGACCAGCACAGTTGTAGATAATAAATACCTTGAAAAGGATATTATAAATTATTTTGAGTATATATATATATATATACATATACACACACACTGTTAAGCATTTATTTACAAAATTCTAAATCTCAATTTCAATAATAGCATAAGGCTACCCCTTTAGAATTGTATCTGTTTTGCAAGTGCAACAAAAATAACAAAGCCATTCACTGATGCTACAGAATAAATCCAGAGAAAGGGCGACTGTGCTAAAGTAATTCCAGCATAGCAGGATTTATATTGAATATGTTCTGCACAAGATTCCATGCTATCGAGACTAGACCACCCATCAGATCTTTTAGACTAGAATCTAGATAAAGAAAATGCATTTTAGTTTCAGTAGAACTTCCCAGGTTCCTAGAGGCTAGGGTTCATGTTGTCTTTGAGTCGAGACATTAAAACATTAATGACACTCCTACGTTCTAGACCATATTGGAGGCACTGAGGAATGCAAAAATAAATAAAATTCCTGCCCTTGAGAAGCTCACAGTCTGCAGGTGTCAGTAATAACATCTGATATTTACTGAATGCTTACTATGACCTAGACACTGATTAAAAGCTTTATGTCAACTCCGTTAATGTTCCCAACACTTTAACATCACTGGAAATTCCATATGCTGAATTCACATGGAATTAAATGGAAATCTACAAAGTAGCCAGTCTCTTGGTAGGGAGTGGGGGGGATTGTTTTTTCATTTCTAAAATGTTTATGCCAGGTACAACATGTTTATGGTATATGTTGGGTTGCTGAGTTACAACTCCAGGGAATAGCAAGTTATTTAAATGTGACAAATGTATTCCTCGTCTGTAAAGAACAATTCATGCTTTGATCTTGTTTTTCAGATTGAACAGTGCGTTTTAAAAAAATTATTAGAATTGCCATACTAAAAAGATCTTTCTACATTCACTTGAAAGTGGGGGCCAAAGGCAAATTGGCAACAAGTTGAGCAGACAAAAAGAAATCCTGGTTATAAATCCCGTGATATATTGTACTTACTGTTGTGTGTAACGCCGCCTTACTGAAGAGCTCCGTGTCCATTTGGCTTACATTAGAGGGAAACTTAACTACAGCTTAACATATTGTCCATTTTCAACACTGTCACGTTACATTCATAGGGAGCACATTTTAATTTCTTTATCAGTAATCAACTGGAAGTTTCTTTTTGTTAAATTAAAGCAAGGGTTTTTAAATAAAGGGCATGGGGGTAGGACGCCACCTTTCGGTGGTAAAACAAATAGAAATCCCTTTTTAAACATGTTCCTGACATTTCATTTTTAATTACACGAAAGCAAAGGGGCTTGTCCTCATTTTGTTATATCTTAAGTAATGGGGAGGGAGAGTATTGTAAATGCAAAATTCGTAAACTATAGTTAACTATGGCCAAAATGTCCCCAAAGCTATGAGAAATGTTAGTGCTGTGCCATATACTATTGACTATTAGTCAAACACCAACTTTGTTCTGCAAATACTGTGTCAATGAATAGATGAGCATTTGGGGGAACAGAAACGAGTAGCTATTTGCCACTTAATGAGACACCTGAATGCTCCTCTAAGTTCAGAGTAAACAGAAACTTTAAATCGCCTCATTCAGTATCTCTTAAACTATAATTACCATCTTCCTAATTTTTGCCATAGCTACATAACATAATAATTCCTGATTAATTAATATGCTGTACTCACTGGAGTACAGTTATTATGATAATTGTACTGAAT